GTCCTCCAGCTGCAGGTGCTGCCGTGGCGCGCCTCCTCGTCCCAACCCCGTTCTCCTGCTTCCGCAGGAGTCCCTCTCAGTGCTGCAGTCAGAGCCACAGCATGTTTACCCTCAGCGTCCAGACTTAAAATGAACCACGCGGATGTGCTGGGATTGACGGCGCAGGTTGATCATACTTGCAAATAATAAAGCAACAATTTTGGCCCCATAGACCTCTGACCTTGCTTAAAGGTCTAGTACAAGTTTTTCACCAATTTTTGAAAAGACCCCACCCCCTCTCTACTTTAAAAAAATGCACATGCCCAACCCTGTACCCGCTCCGAGAGGGAACGCCTATTTAACGCGTGCGAGAGCGTGCACGAGCCCAATTCTCCTCGTGCAAGCTCTGTTTAGAAGTTGCTGTTCTCATAGCAGCTCACTGTGTCCGACCGTCCACTCTAACCCCTAAATCCCTCCATTACTATAGAGCGGGGACTATATAGTGAACTTTATAGTGAACTGAGTTCACTGACTGTTCAGACAAATGATCGCTGCTTTTTGCTCCGTTGATCACGTAACTCCTTCTCCACCGTGCGGTGCCTGCGCCATCTTTGTTTTAGCCACTGTGACAGTAAATCCCATAATGCTTTGCGAGGAGAGCTCTCTGTGCAAAGCATTCTGGGAAATATCTGCCTCTTCTGAGGTTTTTCTTTTCTTTTCAAGCACTTCATAGACTTCAATTCAATTCAGTTTATTTCTATAGCCCAAATTCACATCACTTTCCAGTTCACCAGATCATCCAGTTAGATTGATTCAAAGTTTTCTATCTAAGGAAAACCAGCTGATTGCATCGACTCATTGACTCTTCAGCAATCCCTCACACTAAGCATGCTCGTAGCGACAGTGGAGAGGAAAAACTCCCTTTTAACAGGAACAAACCTCCAGGAGAACCAGGCTCAGTGTCTCATAGACAGTTTTTCTCTTCCGACCCTCGGCCATTTTCAAAGAACCGCGGTGAGAAAGGTGAGCTACAAT